ATGGCCTGTTGGGCACTGTGTTTTTCAATGGATGCACACAGCCCTGGCTGGGAACCACGAGAGTCTCCTTTGCAGCTATCTAGGCAAATGAGTCACCTACAAAGAGATGGAGAGGCAGCTGTTTAGGGATGGGTGGGCATTCAAGAAAAGTGGATTTACAAGGAGACAGGTAGGTCTGGACTTCCTAAAACAAAAAATGGGTTTAGTAACACTTTAAATATAAACCTACTGAAAAATAAATATAGAAATCTGTGCTAGAGGATGTTTTTTGAACGTTGTTGTTAATATCTGGAGTTAATACTGAAAAACAAAACTAGTTAAAGATTATGCCAGCTATAAGCGATTATATTTGCTGGATGCACAATATATTGCTATTGTGCAGCAAGAGACACCAAGTACATCTGCATGGCAATGTTAACTTTGTGCAACAGTCCCATACAGCATTAAACGTCTGCTAAAAAAATATAGTCATATATTTTATTCATATGAATAAATGGTGCATCAACCCCGTGCCAACTCCATGCTTGTTGAGTTGAAAATTGCAGAAGGAGAAAGTAAAGAGAGAGGTGTTGCTAATTCAGACTAGAAGGGCTTATTATTATTGTATTATTTCTATACTGGTGTGCTTCTATATACCGATGGTTAATGTTATATGCTGGTTGCAGTAGTGCTTCTGCTCCCCAATTACTTTGATTAGATTACAGCAACTTTGTTCTGCAGTGGGGGATGATGGAAAAAGCTCTGTTCTGGAGTAGGGATGATGGAAAAGCTCTGTACTGTATTGTGCAGGGTACAGGGGTGAGTATCACACATGGTGCAGGACTTAAACCCCCTCTCCAGTATAGAGATAGTCCAAGTTTAAGTCCTGCACCATGTGCGATACTCACCCCTGTACCATGAACAATACGCACTCTGGAGCATTGCGCAATATACACTCCGGAGCTCTGTACCCTGTACAGTTTACATTAAAATTTGAACCAACCCTCTGCACACTGCTATACACCCTTGCACATCCCAACAATCTACGGATAAACGGGATTTATGGTTCACATAAATTGCAATATACTGTATGTTTAAGCTGGCCAGCTGTATTAAATGATCCCTTTTTGGCCAGTACCTGCTATTCTCTGCAAAATGCTAATTACTTATTAGCTTTTAGCTGTGACGGTGCGCGGGCGTCAGAGACCCCAGCCCTTCTCACCAACTCGTGACCGAAGGACCAGCCGATCTCACACTGCGCTGCCCCTTGCATAACAATGCCACTCTCAGCTGCGCCCTGCACAAAGATTTTCCAGCTCACGGGACTACAATCTATGTGCCAGCAGCCTGAGAGCGATTGTTACTGGGTCAGGTTAATTATGCGATTAACCCTTCACACTGCCACCACCACCTTTTTACAGAGAAGGAGGAAACTCACAAATCTTAGCAGTAACTCTATTAGTATAAGCGTCTGTAATACACACTGTCACCACAGACAGATATATTCAGAGGATTATTACATACAGTAGCACTCTTCAGAGACAGGTATTCTTTAGTTTGCATTAAAAGCTTTAGAGATAGTTCAACACTTTTCAGAAAATAGGATTTATTACTAAAAAGGTCAAAATGGTGCAATTAAAATATTTACAGAAAAATATGTTACAAAGATATAAAGAGAGCAATAAAACAACAGAGAAATAAAAGAAAGAAGTTCAGAAGGCAGAATACTTGCAAAAGTCCTTGGTTTGGGCAATTGTCCAAACAAAATGCTGCTTTGGCTCTCAAGTCTCTTAGATGGTTCCTGATCGATGTTAAAGGAGAGCTTTTTTTCTCAGCCTGTCATGTCTTTTCTATCATCTCAAAGGGGTGTCTCCTGAGAACAAATGACCAATCATCCAGTTTGGGGATGGGTGTTAGGCGGTAACCAAAGTTATGACCCAATCCCTTACAATTTCATACTAAAGTCAATAACATTCAATAGGTACAGGTAGCATCCTAGCAACTGGCAGATTAATATTTAGAATTATATTCCAAACACAAAGATATCAAACATAGCATATCCTTGCCACTCCGGATAAAAGAGACTGCTTCTTCTCCTTGTAGATACTAACATAGTGATGTAAGGTCTCATGTGACCCATATTAAAATGACCTATCCGAATATATACTTCATATTAATGTGCCCAGCTCCTGCTGATGTTTATGAATTTGTATGAAAAATGACTCATGTGGAATGTACGTGTTATGGCATACTCTAGCTCTAATGGCCTAACAGGTCATGACTGACTGAGTTAATGTTTTACGATCGGGCAGAGGAAAGTGGTTTTCAAGCAGACCCCCCTGGAACCAGACTAATTAGTGGTTTACTAGCTGTGTTTTATTTAGGATAAGAGGCCCTTTTGACCTCTGTTCACTTACAGACTCACATTCCATCCAAAAGGGAGGAGGGAGGACAGGAGAGAACATGGAAGGGACCTAACAAGATGGCTGTCATGTACAGCGTCCATGCCTCTATGGTGCATAATCGTCACAATAGCATACTTACAGTATACTTGTTTATAGCATAGTTCAGTACATTTCTTTCTATTGCATGGTGCAACTCAGGGACCAGACCTGAATCTAACTCTCCTACAGCTGTGTTCTTATCAGCCCCTTATTGGCACTATATCCACTGGCGTATGCTAAAGGAAAATAGGTAATTTTCATTTTACAGAGTGGAGTAGGGACCGGCCAGAGAGGGATTACTTTGATGCAGTTGGCCAGCTTGACCATGTTCCGCAATATATGTGAACCAAAAGTCCCTGCTTATCCAAGGTTTGCTAGAAATGTTTAAGGGTGTATAGCAGTGTGCAAAAGGATGATTCTGAATTTTTAGTGTTAACATCCCATTAGCACCTGATGGGTTTTATAAAACGTCACATCTGCTGGAGTGGAATAAAAAATATCAATACCCAAATCACACCCATGCCCAGTGTCTTAATGCTGGCTTGGTAAATGTGCTGGCTTTTCAGCTGCTACTATTCCAGCTGGTATGTGTAATGCTATTCGGAGCTGAGCACAGACATATCTTCTTTCTGCTGCATGATACACACTCTGGAGTCTTGTTTGTACCATTCTCCTGAGCTCTGCATCCTGCTAAATATGCACTACTAAGCCCTGTGCCCTGTGTAATACAGACTTCTGAACCTTGAACCATGCACAATATAGACTCCGTAGCCCTCCTCAGACTGGCACTATGGACATAGGAACATTTTTTCCCCACTGACACTAATGCAGTGCAAAATTTCTCTTAGCAACATTACTGACGCAGGGGCATTTTTTCTTTCCAGTGACACCCCTGACACAAGAACATTGTTCCCTTCGTGTGAGACCTCCAATACAGGGGAATTGTTTTTCCTTCCAGTAGCACCATCAACACAGGGGCATTTTCCTCACTGACAATGATGCAGTGCCATTTTTCTTTCAATGCATATTTTTTCCTTCCTGTGACACCACAGATGCAGTGCAATTTTTTTCTTTGCGGTGACACTATAGACACAGGTTAATTTTTCACTACGGTGACAACATCAATGTAGGGGCATTTTTTCCTTCCAGTCAAACCACCAATGCAGGGACTTTTTTTTTTTTTTTCAGTGACACCAAAATTGCATGGGCATTTTTCCTTTCAGTGGTACCACCAACTCAGGGACATATTTTCCTTTGAGACACACACTGACTCAGGACCATATTTTTCCAGTGACACCACTGACATTTTTTCCCTCACCACTGTTTCGCAATATTTGTGCATATTTGTGCACAGATTTAAACAGCGATGGTTGAACATTCTGATGTGATCTGTGAAAATAGTACTGTTCTGTAAAACCACATACAGCTTAACCACTTTGTTTCTCTCACCTGTTCACCCCCCTATATATGAGAGCAATTTTTACATTTCTTCTATGTACCTGTTTATTGACAATAACTTTGTCATTACTAAATGTAGGTGTAATGGCAAGGCTGGGTGCAGTAACTAAATGCAAATCATACACACAGGTAGTCACACACAGATACTTTTAACCATCATTTACACCATTGCATATTCTACGCATGTGAAAGACCCTCTACCAAATGAACACCTGCCCTGGCACATCATGGCATTCACCCGGCACTCCAAGAAATAACAGAATTCAACTGCAATATTCTTGAACTGTCAAAACCTCCACTTTTATTATCACACGACACACAGGAAGATATATCTTATAATCATGACAGTCTGCATAATAACACACATCAATAATAATGTGAGCATTACAGCATGAAATGGACACATTTTTTTGACAGCGTCACAGCATAGAATTCATACATTACCAGAGCTATGTGACGGCAGGAAGGAACAGATCCCATCAGAACCATACTGCATAGGGGGTCACTGGGAAGCCGTAAATGCAACCAATTGATGAGCCCATATAGCCTTGGCAAGAGTCCCAGTGCCAGAGTGTCCCCTGTCACTAGGAGGCTCCCACATGATCCCATTCAGACTCCTGGCTTTTAAACCATTTTCCTGGCAGCTTTCCTGAAGAGTGTGGGTGCAACACCCACTCTAGGAGGAGCTAGAAGAAAAGTACCCCATGAGGATAACAGAGTCACACCCAGCCACTATATTGAATCAACATCGTTATCTAAAAAGTCATACTTTTGCTTCAGATCAGCTTATCTACCCTAAATTTCTTCTCATCTTCCCTAGACTAGTTGCCGACCGCAAAAAGCTGAATGACGGCTACACTGCGGCCAGACAGTTCTGGGAGGGCATCATATGACATCCTCCCAGAACGCGCTCTCCTGCGCACCCACGGGGGGTGCTCACCCGGCGATCTCCGTGATCGCTGTGTCCTATGGACACAGCTGACACGCTGATCACAGGGAAATGCAATTGATCACGGAAATGCAATTGGCGGATCTCGGCTGCACTTTCCTCACGCTGTCAGAACGTGGGGAAAGTACTGCCGAGAACCGGCAGTTGTCAGAGCAGGGATCAGCACCGATCCTCAGGGCACTGATGATCAGTGCCCTGATGATCGGTGCCCAGCAGTGCCACCCACCAGTTTTGCCCACCTGTGCCCAGCAGTGCTGCCCACCTGTGCCCAGCAGTGCTGCCCATCAATGCCACCCACCTGTGTCACCCACCTGTGCCCAGCAGTGCCACCCACCTCTGCCCAGCAGTGCCACCCACCTCTGCCCAGAAGTTTTGCCAGTCAGTGCCCAGCAGTTGTGCCAGTCAGTGCCCAGCAGTTGCGCCAGTCAGTGCCCAGCAGTGCAGCCAGTCAGTGCCGCCTATCAGTGCTTACTATCAGTACCCATCATCAGTGCCGCCTATCAGTTCCACCTATCAGTGCCGCCTATCCGTGCCACCTCATTAGTGCTGCCTATCAGTGCCACCTATCAGTGCCCTTCAGTGCTGCCTATCAGTGCAATCAGTGCTGCCTATCAGTGCCGCCTCATCAATGCATATCAGTGAAGGAGAAAAATTACCTGTTTGCAAAATTTTATAATAGAAACAAAGAAACTTTTTTTTCACATGTTTTGCTATTTTTTTGTTTATAGCACAAAAAGTAAAACACCCAGCAGCGTTTCAATACCACCAAAAGAAAGCTCTATTTGTGAGAGAAAAATGATAAAAATTTCATATGGGTACAATGTTGCATGACCGGGCAATTGTCATTCAAAAGTGCAACAGCGCTGAAAGCTGAAAATTGGCCTGTAAAAAGTAAAGAAGGGGGTATAAGTGCCCGGTAGCCAAGTGGTTAAACAGGTTCTTATCTTCTAATATGACATTACTAGATGTCATAAACACGTTCAATCCCACAAACAAATTTTTATCTTGCTATAAGCAGTCTAATATCTTGAGACTCTGTTCCTTTAGCTTAGAGAAATGACATGAGTCATTTCTCATGCTGCTGGCATTTGGGCAACAATGCTTTATTGTAAAAATTACCCAAGAAACAAAGGGTCCAAGGCCAACACATTTCATAGGCATTACACAAGGTGATACATTGTTTTTTAAGGACAAACAAGGCTTTCTTTTCATGATATTGTCTGGCATCAATCATTTCTTCAACAATCCTTAGACAATAAAATGCAATGAAAGCAATGAAAGCAAATGCACATTTCCTTTTTTTTTTTTTTATTTATTTATTTAGCAGTGTTAGTTTAAAAATAGTGTTACTGCACATATAATATTGTGCTTTTTATTCTGTAATTTGTCTTGTTTAAAATGGCAATAAAAATATGATTCTGGTACAAAGCATTTCAAAGTTATGTACAAATTAAATAAAGTGAGGTTTTTTTTTTTCAATTTTGCATTTTATGGGAAATATGTAAATATATGTTTAAATATATTAACAAAAAAACAAAAAAAAATTAAATTTTAATAGCTAATAAAATAGAACAAACAAAAAAAAAATCAGCAAAAATATAATAGTTGAAGTGTGAGGGACTAAGGAGTTCATTAGGGCTGATTAGAGTGATGTAAGGGTCAATAAGGGGTTAAACAAAGGAACTTTTTATTAAAAGAAAAGAAAAACAAATTCAGGTTTCATTAACTTGCATCATTGCAAATCTAAGCGCATCTCTTTGATCTGCAGATGAATAAACAAAGATACAAATGTAACAATATGTTACATTGTATCTTTGTATAATTGTGGTCTGAGCAGTGTTTATAAACACACTGGTTCAGACTGCTTTTCTTGAAAGCTAGTGCTGCCAATTTGCCCATATTACAATATACACAAAGAAGAAGTCTGTACACTGGGGGGGGGGGGGGGGTGTAACAGGAGTAAGGCAGAGACATTGGATGTGCTACACACGCCCTGTGTGCAATGATTACGTTTTTGGGAGAGTGTGTAGCACACCCAAAGCCTGCAACTAGTTAAAGACATCTCCCAAGTATTTATTTCATTTAAAGCAGAACTTTACCCGTAGCTTAATTTAAAAAAATGTTCTTTAGCAAGGAACATACTGTACATTCCACATTAATAATTATGCTACCAAAATTAGTGTGTGCTGTAAATTTCCTCTAACATTGTTCCTGTTTCTTCTTGCTGGGGACTGCCATTTTGCTGAAGCTCAGAGCTCCTAAGCAGCAGTAAATCTTTAGGCTGTCAGCGGATCGACCTCTATATTTTCACCACAGTGCCAAAAAATTGAGAGCAATTGAGCATGTGCAGAGCAAGCGAGACAGTATATTACATGATTTTACACAGTATAGGCACTTATATTTAATGTTTTACATAGCTATACCTGAAAAGGGGGCCAGCCTGAAGTGATCTAGCAGGAATTAATTTTCTGACTAAAGTTTCACTTTAAAGAACAGTGTGTTTTTCTCATGTTCCAACGAAGTTGCGATAAAAAAATCCTCTCCCTGCTGTATGTTTTTTTTTTGTTTGCTCTCCTAAATGTTCCCCATGGCACTACTCAGCTCCCCATGTCCTCTTTGACAATAACTTGCCTATGAGCCCTGAAAATGGCCAGAAATGAGGATTCACACCCCACTGACTCTAATGGGGTTCGCCCATTTGCTCACCCTTAAAGTAATATTACAGGGTTTTTTTGTTTCTTTTAAATAACAAACATGTTATACTTACCTGCTCTGTGGATTGGTTTTGCACAGAGCAGCCCTCTTGGGTCCCCTGCCGGCACTCCTCCCCCTTGACCAGCGCCTCAAATAACAAGCCACTTGCTATGGGGGCACTGGCTCATGCTTGCTCCCGAAACACATAGAACCATGGCTCAGCCTTGCTGCCCACTCTCTCCTTTTTGGCTCACTGGCTGTGATTGACAGCAATGGAAGCCAATGGCTATTGCTGCTGTGTCTCAGCCAATGAGGAGAGAGAGACCTGAGACAGCTAAGGCTCCCATGCACATTGCTGGACTGAGAGGGGGCTCAGGTGAGTATTAATAGGGGATGTGGTGGGAGCAGCACACAGAAGGTTTTTGTATCCTTATGCATGCCTTTACAACCACTTTAAATATGATGTAAAAGGGACAATATGTGGTAAAATTAGAATAGAATCTAACATTTTACAGACAAGAAGGCCACAATTTCTAGATACAATAGCCATGGCAATTTTTTTCCAGCATAAAAGATCATTTTCACTGCAGCATCTTTAGCTATGGCTTTCAAGAAACAGAAGTACCACGCAATTTACTTTGCTAACATTCTATCTGTTCAGATTTGTCAAAACATTTGTGTAAGTTTCTAGTAGTCCTTGGTTTTGATAACACTTCGCAAAGTCTTAAGGAGATGGTAATGCTGTGTAATTTGCAAATGACGGTTACTCAGGGCAAGAGAGATTTTATCATTTGCAGCTGTTGTGAGTACTGAATTGATGAAATGAGTTATGTTTTCCCTCCCAACAAAGTCCTGTCTTTGAGGAAAGCAAATTAACCGGCTGATGCTTGGCATATCTTGTAAATCCTTTGGTGAATGTATCTGTATTTAATGATTCCGAAAATGATTATAGATTATGTTTATGCTGTAAATGTTGGTAGGTTAATTGGCTCCTATCTAAATTGGCCCAAGTATGTGAGCCACGGACCTTATATCATACACTCCTTGGGAGTTAGAGTGATGTGGGATGTGAATGTGATATATATATATATATATATATATATATATATATATGTGAATGTATATATATATATATATATATATATATATATATATAGTGTGTGTGCATATATATATATATATATATATATATATATATATATATATATATATATGCATGTATGTAGTGTGTGGGTATGTGTATATGTATATATTTACATACACACATTACATATATATATATATGTGTTGTGTAAATTCACAACACTAGATAAGTACCTCTAATACAATAACAAAATGATGCGCAGGCTTTATTGGATCCAAAGGGTGGTTTCATACTCAAATCTGAAACAACTCAATAAGGTTCCTTTCAAACTAGCAGCAGAGTTTACTGCCTTCCCTGAAAAGTGATCTGTGATAAATTGCTTTTCAGAGGACAGTAAAAGGGGGTTTGCAGGCTAACAGTGATTGTGGTTGTGGCATGATCTCATTCACTTACATGAGAGAGTTGTCCACTTGTAGGCGGGAGGTCAGGGGGAGGTAAAAATGCATATCAACTTTTTACTGCCCCTGGCAATACTTTGTTGCTCCTGATTACAAAACTATATGCCGTTCTTCAATGGTGGATGTGAACATGAAGCAATACTAGCATTATATTCCTCTGTAATTACTGAATCGGGTTCAGCGTCAGTCGTAGTGGTGCAGAGTTAACCGTGTGTACCTTTTTGTTTTGATTGTTATCCAGTGATCCTAGTCTTGGAACCGTATGGAAAAAATTGTTTTATTTTGCATTGATTCGTTAGTTAAATCATTTTGTTTAGTTATTTTTGTTAAATTTGTTTAATCCATTTTCAGAATTCATTTAGCTTTGTTTCATTTTTGAATCTGGTTCGAATTTTCCAAATTTGGTCATATTGATTTCAATCTGATTGAATTCTGAAGATTCAAATCGAATTAGAAAGTATTGAATCGCCATTCAAATTTATTCTATTTGAATTTCAGAAAAAATATATTCTATCTAGTCTGTTATGTTCTTTTCTTTTTTTTTATTCTGTTTTTTCTTTTCTATTCTATTTTATTTTCTATTTAATTCTATTCTATGCTTTTATATTCTATTCCTTTATTTTATATTCTATTAATTCATTTTCTTATATTTTCTAGTTTATTCTTTTCTATTTCATTCTTTTATTTTCTGTTCTATTCTGTTCTGTTTTATCTACTCTTTTCTATTCTGTTCTGTTTTTATTCTATTCTATTTTTGAAATTCGAGTTTCAAAAGGTGGCTATATTCAATTTTTTTCTATTCTACTCTATTCTATTTTTTCTATTGTATTCTTTTCTATGCTATTTTATTTTATTCTCTTCTATTCATTTATTTTCTATTTTATTCTTGTATTTTTTATACTGTTCTGTTTTATTTTATTCTTCTCTATTCTATTCTTTTATATCCTATTACTTTATATACTGTTCTATTTTTATTCTGTTTTTTTCTCTCTTCTGTTCTGTTTTACTTTATTCTTTTCTATTCTGTTATAAAATTTCTATTCTATTCCATTCCTTTTATTTTATTTTATTTTTTCTATTCTATTCTTTTTCTGTTCCTTTTTTTTTCAATTCAATTTTATTCTATCCTTTTATTTTCTACTCTATTCTGTTTTACTATATTCTTCTCTATTCTATTATTTTCTAGTATATTCTTTTCTATTCTGTTATTTTCTATTCTATTTTCTTCTATTCTTATTTTCGAATAAGATTTTACTTTCAAATTAGCTTTCATTTTCGAATTTGATTCAAATTTGAACTTCAGATGAAATTTTGTTTCATTAT